AGTTTCATTTGCTTTATCAAACATATATGTACATGTGGTCATTGTCTCACTGAAATCTCTCTAAGTAACTTTTTTTTCAGTGTTTACTTCAGGTATTTTTTTCTGCCTTCAATAATTATTAATTATTTTTACTATTTCTAGAACACTTTCACATTGTATGGTCAAGAAAAATAATTTATTAAAAAATGTTTGAAACGACACGTTAAGCAGGCACTATTTCAAAATTGCAAGCATAAGAATAGTAAAATCTTTATTTTATTGTTTGGTGAAGTTGTACAAGCTTATACTCTTATTGTATTGTAACAGGTATTACAGTATTGAACAAAAGCCCAAGTGAAGCAAAGTAGGTCACCATCCTCAGCATATGTACTACACAAAAAAAAAAACTGAAAAAAGAAAATATTTATGGGTAGTTCTCACACTTGCTTGGCTAGTGATCTGTACAAGACAGTTCTTATTTATGAAAGTGAATTTGATTAAACCTAAATTTGTAGCTTACAATTTCCTGGATTCAGCACTTTTATTACTACAAATGCTCTAAGCAGATTAAATGTGCATACATGTTGGAAAAATTACTGATTAAGATGCAAAGTTATGATATTTGTATCCAACTGCATTAGAATGATCGAGGTATATGTACTATAGGATGCAAAAGTCAGTTCTCAAATGTACATGAATTTATTCACTTTGGGAAAGTAATCTGCATTATTCACCTTCCCTTAATATTTATTACATTTCCACAAAGAAGTTCAATGTTAAAGGTATACCCAAATCTTCAAATTTCCAGAAGTGGTCTTGTAACTATTTTGGAATATGACTTATGGAAGATATTGCTATAATTATGATAAAATCTAACCTTACAATATCTCACAGTATAAAGGTGAATCTTTTTTTTTTGTTATTTCTTCTCCACTTAAAGATATAGATATCTATTATATAAGTACATAAGAATTTTGTTTACATTGATATGTTGTTAAACAACTTGACAATGGAGAGATGAGGAACTGGATTAATAAATAATGACACAGTTTAATCATATATACAATAATGTCTCACTGAATTACTTCTCTTATCCTTATTGTGTACATGTATGTGTAGAATTTGTTCGACTAGAGTTTTCCTCAATTGCACCATCTAATCAATATGAACCAGTCATTAAACTTGAGACAACGGTGTGAAAGTGATACATCACTTTCTGAGGTCTTGGTGTTTCTTATCAAATTACAGATATAAACATAGTTTAATAGCAACTTCACTAAAAATAAATCAATGAAAAACTTTGAGGCATGTATAAGGTTTATGCATTACTATACTACTATGTTTTATACACTTAATAGAAAATTAAGTTCACTTTATTATCCATCATTAAAGAAAACTCTAACAAAGAGTAATTAACAAAAAAAAAAACTTTGATCAATCACATTAAGGTCCTAATTTTTCTAATATTATCAACTGTATTTCGTCACATGATCTGTAACCACTTATCACTGTATAAATCATCAAGAAAAGGAAAACACTGCTCAACTCAACTATACATTTCTTGCATATAATTAATGACTAAAACATCTGTTTCATGCTAACTTAAATTCACTTTTTTTTAAATAAGATTTACTAAACATGGAATTTGAAATCAATATCTCACAATTACTGTATATTGCTGAACTTCCCTTTTTATGCCTAGTATTAATGAAAAGCATTTTGTACCTTCAGTAAATGAAGAGATGAAGTTTCTACAACACTAATGAATGATAAAAATGAGTTTGAAAAAAAGTTTACTAAAATATTAAAAAAAAAGACTTTTGTACCTACATATTTACAAATAATATCACACTTCAGTATTATTTAATTTTTAAGGCTGTATGCCTAATTTCTCACTGATCTAAAATAATTTTTACATTCCCTGAAAGACTTTAAATCAGTTTCCTTTAACACACAAGCCAAATCTAATAGCATCTGGATACGGATCAGAGACACATCATAAAATTTTCATGTTTTACAAGGAAGTATAAACTATAGGTCGTAAGTAGTGAAATACCGAGCAAGCTAAATTTTCTTTTTTGGTTTAATATTATACATAGCTAAGTTTCTTACATTTATGTTAATAACACTTAATCTTTGATTTATATCACATATTCAACCCTTCTGTAATTGTTTTTGGTTTTCCTGTGAGATTGATCTCAATTTCTTTAGGGGAATAGATTTGTTTTATCAATATGCAAATCAAATTTAGTAAAACATGGTGTTTTTAAGATTGTTTTATTGCTCTAGACTAGATCTTGCTTTGTCAGTGTCATAGTGTAGCACATTTCTTGCCAAACCACCCCTTACACCTCAGTTGAATCTAAAATACAACTGTGTTTTCTTTTTAGTACAATGTACTAAGCAAAACAAGATAGAAGTTGAATGTTGGAAGTTATTTCCAATATTAATATATGTAATCTTGGTAAAATAATGGTCTTAATACCATTACATACACTACTGTACATAAATTAGAGAAAAACATTCAGTCTCCATGATGAAATATAGTAATAATGGCAATGTATAATCATTTCTTACTGAAGTACCTTCCAAATCATATATTCCAAAACAATGAGATGTAAGAATGTTAGAACTGACAACAGGTATGTTTTAATGGTGCAATTATTATACTGACATCCAACATGAAATAGCATTTCACATATTTATTAATTTTCTATACATTAAAAAAAAATCACCTTTCTTTATCATTAAGATTAGTTGTTCGCTTTTGTAAAAATAGATAAAATAAACAGATATTGAGTAGAGGTCAAAAGTATATTATTATAACTATATATGTATTTCCACAGGGTTCCTGAAAGTGTTCTGTTTCAAGAGTAAATAATACCAAAATTAAGAGTAACAAATATTTTCATTTCTTGCTTTTGAAGTTCATATGTCATGTTGTGTTGCAGCCTACAGAGTGCATAATTCCTCTCATGATTCATGATATGCATATGTTTTACTGACATCACAACAGTACAAGTTGCAACATTAAGCATCTCCTATGTGATGTCATTTTAGTGTCAACTAACAGACAACACACTACTGTATAGTGGTGTAAATGTTTAAAACAAGCAACCCCTCCAGGCAGCCCCTTTTGGAGAAATTACTGATGAAGCCATGTCTAATAATGCATCACTTTGAACATCAGAACACAGTCAGTAGAAACATTATTATTCTTGTTCAGGTGATAACTGCCATTCACCAAGAGTAAACCTGTTTAATTGAGTGAGACGTTTTTCTACAATTGCTTGACAACAGGTGTTAATAGAGTGGGAGTCACAAGCAGATTATTGTGTAAGCTTTGATAGTAGAACAAAGAAATTATTATTTAGTATATGTCTCAAGTTGGACAACTAACAGTATTTGTAAATGACTGATCAATGGGCTCCTAACGGATTACAATTGCTTTATCAATTAGGATATGCCCCTTATAATCCCCCCTTCCCATACAAGCTAAATGTCAGAAAATTATAAAATGTTGATTCAAAAATGTTTTTTATTTAAAATTGTTGTTTTATATTTAGAATTAACATATAAAATTTATTTTAAAATGTGTGTCTCAACAATGCTATCAAATGATGGAAAAATATGAAAAGTCAGAGGAAACTCTTGTCTTCAGACTTCAGGCACAATAACTTGGAATTAAATGAAATTAAACTGGTGAAAATGGGAATGGAACCCTATACCTTCAAGTCACAAGATCCCCAAACAATAATGCAATAGTTTGAATAATCAAAAGTAATAAATAATTGGAAATCCTAATTTCCAATAGTTGATTACTACCATGACAATTGATTTTATTATAATTTTGATTAACTGGAATAATTGAAAACAGTAATAATTAGAACAACTAATTTAAATATTTTAACAACATGGAACACCTATTTCAAAAATTAAATTTGTCATAATACAATTTTTAAAAATTATCATCATTATTATTAATTATTGTCATGATAATTATTTTTACTATTATCATTGTTATTGTAGCTCATCAATATTCAAGCTTTTGGACTGCAGAGCATTTAATATGCAAGAAATTATTTGCAGCTGCCAGGTATCTAGCCACTGCATAAAAAAAGATGTGGACACTTAAATCATAAATGCATGACTTGACTGCAGTAAAAAAAGTTAGTAGACAGAAAGGACTCCATGGAAAAAATCTTGCCCCTGGCCCTTTGAGACCCTTGCTATTCCACTGAGCAATATTTGAAATTTGAAGAAATATCTAAAAAAGATGTTAGTAGTACTTGAGTAGTAACACAATGATCAGTAGCAGCAGATCTAGTCATTAAGTGCACTTCTAGTTTCATGATGATACAATTTCATAAAAGAAGAAAACTAATGATCGTGGACAGACGACAACATTACACAAAAAATCAAATGCCACTACTACAGAAAGAGAAGAACTTATACAAGGGTTCTGATGCAGAAAATAGGCTGAATAAACTTAAAAACATTTCAAATTTAAGTCCAACAGTATAAATCTTAATAATTAAATTACAAACTATATTTTATAACTCTTTCTAAATTAAATCTAGTTCAGATCAGACATTAAACGCAAAGGCTGACATAATTATAATCAACTGATATTCAAAGAGAGTATGGCTAAGTTTGTATATACTGACATAGAATTTTGGGACAGTGTACAAATACAATTCCCTAGCTTGATCGAAATATATGATTTCTCCATATCAACCTTATCACTTCTACCTATACTAGCCCAGCTAAGCGATACGAGACTCAGAAAGTTAACTCGGTCATGTAACTATACGTTCTTCACTTCCAAGTTCCACCGTTCTTCAAAGTTCAAGTGTTATTAATACGACCTTAGGCTAGTGGAGAGTGGTGGGGTGTATTACTTTATAGTGTATTATGTATACACTACATTGGCTAAGAATGATACAGTGGACCGAGGTGTTAACGCATATATAATAATGAACTTTAAAGAACTTACAATAATAAGAAAAAAAAACACTTACCCAAAAATAATCTCTGAAATCGACAGGCATCTTCCAAACACAAACATTAGTTAACAATCAAAATCATAAAACGGTGAGAGTTTCACGAAAACGGTTCTACCCAACCGATGGCGTTTCCTATGCTGGAAACCAGCGACCGATATCTCAGAACCAGGCAAACTCTTAGTCTTAATCTACCAAATAATAATAATAATAAACAAGTGTATACTAATTTATTTGAATAATGTATTTACTTATTTAGGAAACATATAGCCAATTAAATTAAAAAGAAAATCAATAAGATAACTCGCAAAAGAAAAATTTATTTACAGAGGATAATATTTTTACTACAGCAGAATGAAAAGCATATTGGATAAATTAATATATTTACTGAATGAACAAAAACTACCAGTAAAAATGAGAAATGCTGGCAGAAATAATTACGCTTTTGTTTAAATCTAAATATTTATTGTAACATTTAAGTATATAATCAGAAATCATAAAACTATTAAATAAAAACAACTGAATGAAACAATAAAATAAAAAGCAATTTAAATATTCGTGATAGTTTTCTTAAAAGTAAATTATATATATTTGTGTGCAGTACTATTATATCAACTGTTAATTTTGCATCAATATAATTGCATAAATATACATGTTTAATTATAACACTGTGTTTTTCTGGTATATACGATTGTACTGGCATCCTTCATTGCATCATTTTTGTTCAATTCAAAGTCTGATTTTGATAAACACAATTGTCTCAAACTTTACTTATAAAGTTTTTTTATTAACTATATAAAAAGTAGTTATGAAACATCTGTTCCAATTTCTTTAAATTTAACATAAAGCTACACGAAGACTTTGTACTCTAGCCGTCCCTAATTTAGCAATGATAGATTAGAGGGTTTTTTAATTATGCACAAAGCTACACAAGGGCTATCTGTGCTCTGCCCACCATGGCTATCGAAACCCGGTTTCTAGCGTTGTAAGTCCGCAGACATACCGCTGTGCCACTGGGAGGGGGGGGCAGATTAGAGGGAAGGCAGCTAGTTATCTCACCTAGCATCATCTGTTGGGCTACTCTTATACCAACAAATAGAGGGATTGACCGTCACGTTATAACGCTCTCACGGCAGATTGTAAGTCTAGGGCCCTAATCACCAGGCCCACATCTTTCAAACCTAAAGTATTCGTTTTACTCGTTTGTTTTAGCGTTGTTAGTTCATAAACTTACAGCCTACCCACTGGGAGACCTTCGCTTCGCTTTTGTTTTGTTAAGTGCAAAGCTACATAGTAGGCTAATCTACAATTTTTAGCGTTATAAACCTTAGTTTTAGTTATTGTTTCACTTATCATTTACGTATTTTCCCTAGTTTAATTTGCTATAGTTTTAGTTTCCTTAAAATCGCTAGTTAACCAGCTTCTCTTTGTAAATTAAGTATTAAATAAGTCATTATTATGTTAAGAAACCGATAGGAACTTCCCCTAGCGGTAACATTTGGATATTAATATATGAATATGTTAAACAAATGCTAATTTATTAGTCGTATGATATGTATTCTTGTGGTCTACTAAGAAAATTAAAATATATATTCCGAAGTTAGTAATGCTAGGGAGAGCAGTTACACAGTGTGATCCGTTTTATATTATACATATATATATTGATTGATTATTAAACTGATAAAGGTTGTTGCAGATGTCGCTTCATTATTATTTGCGATTTGAGATAATATTTGAAAAGTGTTTAATAGTATTTTACGAATTAGGTTATTGTTACGATAGCGGAAGTCACGTGACGCTGCTGGCGCGTTGGGCGCTGGTAGCGTGGGTGATGAGTTTCTCGAATGATCGGGGAAGTCCGAGTGTGTTCGAGATGCCCTCTTCGTTAGTATATAAGCCTGGCAGTGAAAGCCAGCGCGGATATATATATGAAGAGAGAGCAGTAGTTACTTTGAGTTCCGAGTAATTTATGATTCTCTTAGTTTCGAGCCAGTGAGCCGTAAAGTGTGTGTTTTGCACTCGTCGAGAGCGAAATTATCGCGATTGTGAATCGCTGTGATTTATAGTGTGTATAATAAAAGTTGTTAAGTTTAAAGTGACGAGAAACGTACTTATTGTGGAACTACTGTGTACTAAAAGTTTATATCGAGGAAGAATAAACTGGTTTAATCAAGAAAGGACTTGTATCGCTGAAGATCCTCGGAAATAATTTCTACCAGAAACAAACAAACAAACAGATACGTAACATTATATTTTTTCTTTGCTTGTTTGTTGAATTCCGCGCAAAGCCACTCGATGGCTATCTGCGCTAACCTTCCCTGATTTAAAAGTGATAGATTAACTGCCCCTAATTTAGCAGTGATAGCCTAGACGGAAGGCAACTAGTCAACACCACCTGCCTCATAATCTAGGGCTACTCTTTACGAACGAACAGTGAGATTGATCGGCATTTATAGACCTGGCATGGCCTACCGAATAAGGCGCTCGACTCGCAACATGAGGATCGCGTGCTCGATTTCCCGTCACTGAACATACTCGTCTTTTCATTCTTGGGGGCATTATAATGTGAGAGTCAATCTAACTATTCGTTGGTAAAAGAGCAACCCAAGAGTTGGCGGTGGGTAGTATTGACCAGTTGTCTTCTGTCTAGTCTATCATTACTCAATTAGGGGAGGTTGGCGCATATATCCATGTAGAGGCTTTCTGTGAAATTCAAAACAAAAATACACAGTGGTTTAGTTTTATAATTTTTGATTTGAATATTTCCATTTTATATTACGTTCTGTACTGATAAATTAGTGTATTTTTCTGTTTTCTCACTCTTTGTACTATTCATTTTAAACTTTATTTTGGAGTTTGAACGTACAAACTCTATTTAACACTGTATTTTTTCTACTTAAATTCTGAAAGTTCTTATGCGCTATAGTCTATAGCATATAAAACTAACTTCATATCTGCATTCTGTCTGTTGGGGTCTTTACGTCTCCACTCACAGTTTTGTTTTGTTTTTAATTGTAAAAACTTTCCTCACACTTTTTTGTACTGGGCTAACCTTGCCATTCTAATTGTTTTCGTATGGTGGTTATATTCGATTTCGTGGTTTCTTTAAGAATAGTCATCCTAATACCAATGTAGTATGTGCAACATACCAAATGTTTCATTGACGTTTGGTGATGAATATTTCATTCATCTAAAAGTTAGGAAATTTCAAACAGACACGCATATGAGAACTGATTATACTGTGTATGATATTCTGAGGTATGGTTGTAATATTTGTTAATTGATTTTCTTGTGAGTGATTGAGTAGGAATGACTTAAGTCCACCAGAAAATGTTTTATGGAGTAAAATCTGAATTATATTGACATCGACTTCGTCGAAAACAAAGAAAAAGACTGTCACAGTATATCACACAGTGAAATCAATTGTTTATTCAAGCATTCACAAACAGCGATCAAAACTTTTATGGGTAAGTGTATTTTGAGTGTTACTGGAGTGTGCTCAAAACAATATATTTAGATTTATGGCACTTTTTGTAAAATAATACCATCATGTTCAAGACTGAGAAAGCATGGCATTATATAGGAAGGAAAAACAATGGCATTCTTCTAAAGATGCAAGCGCCACCCACGTGAATGATGGTCACTCTCACTGCAAACCAAGTGATGTTTTATCCAAAAGGCATTACCTGACGTGGCAATGGAAAAGAACATTGTCAGTTTTATACAGTGTGCACTATATTAAAGCAAATTTTCCTACAAAAAGTATATTTATGGCCTAAATGAACAACCTAATTTTTGTAACTAGGGTAAGAGGAACTTGGTATCTTCCTTGACTGACCTTCTGTATTAAGAACACATGCTCAATATAGGGATAAATTGTGAAGTATTTCATATTAACTAATGGAAACATGTGGTATATTTGCATACCAAGTTTCATCCTTCCGCTTTATTTTCAGGTTGACCTGATCATCCCTAACTTGCTCCCCAGTGGCAAAGTGGTACATCTGCGGACTTATATTGCTAGAAACCAGGTTTTGATACCCGTGGTAGGCAGAGCTTTGTGCTTAATCACAAACAACATCCCTAACTTAAAACTTAGAAACCAGTTAAAATATCCTTGTACCATTCGAGGAATTGGTTTAAGTTGCTTTCACCCATGCAATCAACAATATATATATACAAAACTTTGTAAACAAAAACTTATACATTAAAACAGGAAATTAACACAAACTGCATGCTATGCAAACAATGGAATAGCGTCGTCAAAATGTAAAACAAGGTGAACTCTTTGCATAGAAACTTTACGAAAACAAACTCTTTAACAACAAGCATAACATAATATCTTTAAAAATAAATGAAAATCTAATAATACAAAAGTTAACCTCTTTAGAAAAACATTTACAAAGCAATAAGAAAATAATGACATGATATAACGCTGTTTGAAATATACAGATATATTCAAAAGTGTATAAAATATTTACAATCCTTATCTCACCTACAAAAAGAAAAAGATCAATCATGATAATGGAAATTATCCTTACATCTATATATACACATCTATAGTATATACATATCTATGTGTATATACACATATATACACAAAAATGTTATACAACTCTACTTACATTATTTACATATATATGAAAATAAATAAAAAACAATAAATACATTACAATAGATACATATATATCGGCAAGGGAAATCAGGGCTTCCAAACTTTACTGTAGCCCCAATAATAGATAGATCCTCCAATGCAGTATTTGATTTTTAGAGAGCTGTGGTCCTCTGTCATATTATCTCTTGGGCGTCGCCATGTGCATTAGCTAATGTTATAAAATGGAAATCGGTAAAAAAAAACAAAAAACTATGTTTCTGTTACAGAAGTTTTTAACAGTGACTCTAATCGTGGAAGCAGCTATCCTTGGCCTTACATAAAAGACTATTTTGAATTTGTTGGAAGTGAAAGTGCAAGCGTATCCCAATCCCGAAGTGTTTTGTTGCAGTGTAGGTTGTGTTTGTCCAAAGATAATACTTATAGTGTCAATAAGAAATCTAAAGAAACACACTAGTTACAAACATTCCCATAAACTCAAGGATATTGAATCGTGCATCGAGAGAGGAACGGAGGTAAACAGGTCAAG